ATGGGATAATTTTATATACAAATATAATTTTAAGGACTAAATTGAACAAATATGAAATTACAAATTAAAATTTAAATAAATTAAACAATACAGAGATATCAAATTGAAATAATTGTAAAATATGAAAAAAGTTGTAAAATAGACTAAATAATATATATATATATATATATATATATATATACATACATAATAATATAATATGTATATAATATGTATGATGAATGTTATGATAATATAATACATGTATATATATTATAATGTACATTGTACTTATGCATACAATATAAGTATACATTATACTTATAATATATGTATATAATATATAAGTATATATATATAAGAATAATATATATATATATATAAAGTATAAAATATATAAAGTATAAGTATATAAACTATATAACATGCCAATGGGTGTTGGCACAAGTGGTTGGGATTCAGGAATTTGAGTTTGTAAGGCCAAGTTCGAATCCTACCATTGTCACTCTTGGTAAGCAATTTGTAAATTCTTATGCAAATCACAATTGGGTCTTAGGTATGCTCTGACCTTGGATTGAGGGAGTCACTCCTGACTTAAACTTTTGTGTACCAAAAATAAATAAACTATATACTATATAGTTTATATACTTATATATTATATATTTATATATTTGTATACTCATGCTATGTATGTAATATGTACTATATATATATATATATATATAAGTACATATATGCATGTATGTAATATATAAGATGCATGTATATATATTTATATTTATACATGTGTGTGTATATATATAAAGTATATAATATATAAGTATATAATTAAACATGAGTGACTAAAATAAAAGATACTAAAATTAACATTTATATTTAATAATTATGCACATTAAAGAAAGAAGGGAAAATTAAAAGTAATTAGAATGTATTCAAGATAAAATTACATCGAATTGAAAATTCAAGAAGAGATTTACAATTAAACCATGACTAAAATGAAAGAAATCAAAACCAATTTACAAAGTAGAAAAATGATAATTGTTGGAAGATTTCGAGCCTAATTAGCCCAAAAATCTTATTGGACACCTACTTGGTGCTAACTTCCCAAATTTTGCTCAATTTCTCTCTAAATTCCCAATTTCTCTCTCTTCCCAAAATTTTCAAATTTTCCTCTAAATTCTCAAATAAAATCAATTTTTCGACACACAAAAAAATATTTATTTTAAAAAACTTTCTCTCACAACTCACTTTAAATAATATATATATATTTAATCTCAAATAAATTCATCTTATATGTATTATTTAAAATTTTATGTTAAATTATATTTAAATTATTAATTAATTATTACATGAAAAATAAATTAAACTTATAAATATTTAAATTAATTTTATATAATCTAATAAAATCATGTTCAATAAATAAATTATTTAATGAAATTAATTTAATGATTATAATTAAGATTTATAATATAAGGATTATAATTAATATAGAAAATAAATTTATTAATTTAATTATCATAACTAATAATTTGTTTTAACTTTCAAGAGTAATCATATTAATTATCATAGTTTATTATAAATTCAAAATCTCACAACTTCATCAATTGTAACTTATAAGTCAGGTAAATATCAGATATGGTCAATAACAAGTTGGATGATTTACATGTTGAGTCAATTACATGTCAGGTTGATAATAGGTAGGGTAATACCAATTATTTGTCAAGTTAATCTCGAGTTCGGGTTCATATCAATCGGATGCAGATCGGGTTTGGTTATCATATTATTGTTTCAATTCGGGTTCAAGTAATTCTCAGATCTGGTAGAGGTCGGGTTCATATCCACAATTTTCAGGTCCAATTCGGGTTGATGTCAACACCAGTTCAGACTCGAGTTGGTTTAAAATACCACCGCTTAAGTCACAAACAATTTTGACTCGAGTCAGTTTTATAGGTCGAGTCTTTTTACTTCCCTAATCAATGTTTTCTGTAATTTTTAGGATATTAGTTGTACAGATGAATCTTAAAAAAATGTTGAAATAAACTTTTTTAGTACATCAGGTTTTGAGATATATTTCGAGTTTTGACATAAATGAAATTTTAAATTTTTTTAATTTTTTCTGATCTCTTTGTTTATAATAAATTATTTATTTTTTATCCATAAAAATAGACAAGGTTAAATCACATTAAATCTAGTCTTACACGAATTTTATTTTATATTGATGTCATTTTAATCGCCTTTTTAGTTTTAAAGTTTTTACAATAGTCACATTATAATTCTCGTTTTACTTAATTTTAGTTTGTTTCTTAGGTGAATGTAATACCCCAAATTTTGGTTAGTGACCAAAACATAATTTTTGAAAGTTTAGTGTCCAAAGTGTAAAATTAGGAAAAGTTTAGGGAACAAAATGGTAATTCTCCCAAAAAGAATTTTTATTTCCATAAATGAATAGTTTACCCTCAATAATGGCGTTTTGGTGGGAATCGTATTTTCGATTTAGAATTTGTGTTAAAAGCTATAAAGTGTTAAAGTCCGATAAAAATTCGACAAATCGGATCGAATAGAAATTTTGAGAAATTTTGAAGGATGATAATTTAAGCTTAAAAATATTATTTCCACATTTTAAAATGATGGAAATTGTTTATTTAATTTTTATTTGATTATACTTCTTTAAACAATTTAAAACCCTTTTTTATTTATTACCATTAATATTTATTATTTTATTATTTCCCTTTTATTTATTATTATCTATTTTTTAAAATATTTTCAACTTTACCTGAAATTCTATCTTGTCCTAAAATCAATAAATTGTTTTACTAAATCACAAAAACCATAGTCCTTGTGGATTGACCCTGCTTCTCTATACTACATTTTCCTTTCTATTTAATTAAGAAGCCGAAATTATTTTGATAACAAAACGACGATTATCAAAAAGTTTATAGGTTTGGAAATTATAATATAATTTCTAAAATTTGAAATGAAATTTATTATGTGATTTATAGGGTATGAAGTAAATTACAAAAATATAAATAAGTATGGTCCAATTTCAGATACAAATATAATTTTAAGGACTAAATTGAATAAATATGAAATTAAAAATTAAAAATTAAATGAATTAAACAACACAGAGGGATTAAATTGAAATAATTTTAAAATGTGAAAAAATTGTAAAATAGACTGAATATTATACATAATAATATAATATGTATGATGAATGTTATGATAATATAATACATGTATATGTATTATATTGTACATTATAATTATGCATATAATATAAGTATTCATAATATTTATAACATATGTATAATGTATATATATATATATATATATATATATATATATATATATATATATATATATATATATTAAATATAAAGTGTATGTATGTATGTATATATGTATGTATATGTATAAGTATTAACTATATACATAAGTATGTACTTAAGTATATATATATAAATAAATAAGCATATATAGTATATAATTAAACATGAGTGACTAAAATAAAATATACTAAAATTAACATTTATATTTAATAATTATGCACATTAAAGAAAGAAGGGAAAAATAAAGTAATTAGAATGTATATATGATTAAATTGCATCGAATTGAAAACTTAAAAAGAGATTTACAATTAGACCATGACTAAAATGAAATAAATCAAAAACCAATTTACAAAGTAGAAAAATAATGATCGTTGGAGAAGCGAGAACTTAATTAACCCAAAAAATCTTATTGGAGACCCAATTGGCGCCAATTTCCCAAATTTTACCCAATTTCTCTCTAAACTCCCAACTAAAATCAATTTTTCCCCACACACAAAAAAATATTTATTTTAAAAAGCTTTCCTCCCACCACTCACTTTATAAATATATAATCTCAAATAAACTCATCTTGTATATTTTAAAATTTTATGTTAAATTATATTTAAAATATTAATTAATTATTACATAAAAATAAATTAAATTCATAAATATTTAAATTAATTTTATATAATCTAATAAAATCATGCTCAATAAATAAATTATTTAATGAAATTAATTAATGAAATTAATTAAGATTTATAATATAAGAATTATAATTAATATAGAAAATAAATTTATTAATTTAATTATCATAACTAACAATTTGTTTTAACTTTTAAAAGTAATTATATTAATTATCATGGTTTATTATAAATTCAAAATCTCACAACTTCATCAATTGTAACTTACAAGTCATGTAAATATCAAATCAGGTAAATATCAGATCTGGTCAATAACAAGTTGGATTATTTACAGGTTGAATCAATTACATGTAAAGTTTATAGCAGGTCAGGTTGATAACAGGACGAGTAATACCAGTTATTTACCAGGTTAATATTTGGGTTCAAATTCATATCAGTCAGATGCAGGTCGGGTTCAGTTATCATATTATCGTTTCAATTCGGGTTTAGGTAATTCTCAGATCGGGTAGAGGTCGGGTTCAGATCCACAATTTCCAGGTCTAACTCGGGTTGAGGTCAACACCAATTCAGACTTGAGTCGGTTTCGAATCACCACCGTTCAGGACTTCAGGTCATAAATAATTTTGACTCGAGTCGGTTTCACTCAATTTTATAGGTCGGGTCAGCTTTTTATGTTCCTAATCGATGTTTTCGGTAAGTTTTAGGATATTAGTTGTACAAATGAATGTTAAAAAAATGTTGAAATAAACTTTTTTTTAGTATATCAGGTTTGGAGATATATTTCGAGTTTTGACATACATGAAATTTTATTTTTTTTATATTCTTGTGATCTCTTTGTTTATAATAAATTATTTAATTTTTTATCCATAAAAATAGATATTATTAAATCACATTAAATCTAGTCTGACATGAATTTTATTTTATATTGACATCATTTTAATCGTCTTTTCAGTTTTAAATTTTTTACAATAGTCACGTTATAATTCTCTTTTTAGTTAATTTTAGTTTGTTTCTTGAATGTAATACCCCAAATTTTGGTTAGTGATCAAAAAATAATTTTTGAAAGTTTGGTGGCTTAAGTATAAAATTGGGAAGATATGTTGAAAACGAAGGAGGGTATTGAACCCGAAAGCTTGTTTCCATACAAGCTCAACTCCTCCAGCTTTTGCAAGTATCCTAAAGAGAATGGGATAACACCATTGAAGTTGTTGTAGTACAGACGCAACACCTGAAGTTGAGTTAATGATCCTAACCACGATGGGATTTCTCCACTGAAGCTGTTGTTACCCAAGTCTATATGTTTCATCCTGTGCAAATTTGATAACTGGACTGGTAATCTGCCATGAAAACTGTTATCTTTGATTGAAAGAAGAGAAAGGAATGATAAATTTCCTAAGTGGGGTGGAAGGGTGCCTACAAATCCCAAACCAGTAAGGTTTAGAGCTGTGACTTTGCGGTGGTTGGACCCGCAGCTGACACCAAACCAATTGCAAACAGGAGTAGAAGATGACCAATTGGTTGCCAACACATTTCCAGGATCCTGGATAACATGGTCTTTCAATGCAAGAAGAGCGAACTGGTCTGTAAGAATGGTGGTTAAGTTCTTGGAAAGAGTGGTCAGAAAAAAATGGAAGATGATGATGAGAAGAGTCAAGTCGAGGAAAGTGTTCGCCATTTGATTTTGGGTGGTTGAGTCAATGGAAATGGTGTTTGTCAAGCTACAAAGGAAGGCACAACCGAAATAGCCTGATAATACATTCTTATATACAATATATTGGACCCATGCATTTCTGCACACGTCCATTGTTAATTGAAGGTCTAATAATACCTAAAACATCCCCTCTAAGCTAGTGAAAATTTCACTTAGCCCCATTTATTATTCTTTATCAGTTTAACTCCTAAACTTGGAACACGCGAATAATTTTTATTTTTAATGTTTTTCGGTGGTTTTCTCCTTGTCTTAACAGTAGCTTTCAACATCACACAACATCACTAGATTGATACATGTATAAAGAAAAATGGTTGCCAATTGACTTCAAACTAATTTAGACTTATATTTTGAGAAACTATTGATTAATATAATTCCCAATTTTCAAGAACTGATAAACGGAACGGTCCAAATAAGAGTTTAAGAATTTTATTTTAATGACCTATACGTGCTTGTCTTCTACTACGGTGACGTTGCACCATAGTTAAAGGTCAAGGGATTTGATTTCGTAGAACGGTGAAATTAAAAGAGAGACTATGACACAAACTTAAAGGTAAGTGAAAATCAATTCTTGGTTTTGGTTTTCTGAATTGGTTAGTCAACTTAGATACATGGACATTAATACTACTTTACTACTGACATAGATCGCTATAATTCTTTATGAAGACAAATGCTATTGATTAATTACTATTTGATTGGAAATTTGAGGCTTCTTTGGTTTGAATTTTGGAACTTCTTCACTCCGTTAATTCTAAATTTTCCGATTGAGAATATAAACTAAAGAAATAGTCCTCAGTTCAGCCATGGAAATTTCTTCAGTCCTTCCTTTGTCAAATTTGCTGGTTTTTATAAATTTGAATAATTGAATTCGTTGGCCTACAAATAGCAGTGGAGATGCTTAACCCGAAGGAGCAAGTAATTAGTAATAAATATATCCAAAATGAAAGCATTATTTGCAATTCTATGCATTCTGCTCGCTTCCACTCTTTTCATCTCCATTTTCACCATGGCTCGAGCACGGCTGTTTTGGGGTAAGTAAAATCGATATATTAAAACTTTTACTGTAATTATTTTCTAAATTATGTTGTACACATATTAATAAAACACATGGGCTGCTAAGGGGGCTGCTAAGGGGGCTGTTAAGGGGGGGCTGCTGTAATTTTTTATTTTTTATAATAGGGTTAATTACAATATTAGTCCTTAAGCTTCAGCTATAAATACCCTAGCTCATTTAGCTTCAAAATCATCCCAAAAATCATTTTCTTTCTCCCAATACTAGAGAGCTTTCTTGTGAGTAGTGAGTGTTTTGTAAACACCTGTAAAATTTCTCTCTTAGTAAAAGATCTGCAGCAGTCCGGAGACGTAAGCAAAATTGGCTGAACTCCGTTATCAATTTTTCGGGTATTATTTTTCCGATTTTATTTCGCGTTCTCACTAATCTGGTTATAGGGAAATTACTTGTACTCGGTTTATTTCCTAACAACTGGTATCAGAGCTTTTGGTTGTGAATTTTGTCAATTTTCTGCGAGGTTACTATTCATTACTATTCACGTGAATAGTGAATTTCGTGAATAGTGAAATTCGGTCGGCGATACGAGTTTGTCGACGGAGGTGTTCTAATACACGGCGGTTCGCAGAAATTGTCAGAAACGATCCAAACGAAGCCAGATTCGAGTGGGAGCGATGGCTGCAGACGAAGGGAAGGTGAAAATTGAAAAGTTCGATGGTGCGGACTTTGGCTTTTGGAAGATGCAGATCGAAGATTTTCTGTACCAGAAAAATCTATATCAACCCCTCTCAGGAAAGCAACCAGAGGGCATGAAGGATGAAGATTGGGCTCTTCTCGACAGACAAGCCCTCGGAGTTATCCGACTGACGTTATCCCGAAATGTTGCTTTCAACATAGCAAAGGAAAAGACCACGGCAGGTCTTATGGCAGCTCTCTCCAGTATGTATGAGAAGCCATCGGCCTCAAACAAAGTTCACTTGATGAGGCGATTATTCAATTTGCGGATGACGGAAGGGGCATCAGTGGCTCAACACCTGAATGAACTCAACACAATCACAACCCAGTTGAGTTCTGTAGAAATTGAATTCGATGATGAAGTTCGAGCTTTAATTCTCTTATCATCTCTACCAGACAGTTGGAATGCTACTGTTACAGCAGTTAGCAGCTCGTCGGGAAATAGTAAATTGAAATTCGATGATGTTCGGGATCTGGTACTGAGCGAAGAAATTTGACGGAGAGAATCGGGTGAAGCATCAACCTCCTCAGCCTTGCACACGGAGTCCAGAGGGAGAACTTCAGAAAGAAATTCAAATCGTGGCAGATCCAAATCCAGACGGGAAAAATCCAGAACGGGAAAGAAAGATTTTACCTGTTATAATTGTGGCAAGAAAGGTCACTTTAAAAGAGATTGCCGAGCACTGAAGAAAGATACCGGTGCACAGGAATCTGCCAACGTGACAGAGGAGACAGGTGATGCCATGATTCTAAGCGTCAACAGTCCGATTGAATCATGGATCTTGGATTCAGGGGCATCTTTCCACTCCACCCCATGCCAAGAAATCATGGAGAACTATATCAGTGGTGATTTTGGGAAGGTTCATCTTGCTGATGATGAAACCTTGAAGATCGTCGGAAAAGGAGATATCCGACTAAAGCTGCCAAACCAGACCACCTGGAAGCTGACAGGAGTGAGACATATTCCTGGCCTCAAAAGAAATCTGATTTCTGTTGGACAGCTTGATGGAGAAGGATATAGTACAACCTTTTCAGGTTGTGAATGGAAGATTACCAAAGGAGCACTCGTCATTGCACGTGGTAAGAAGATTGGTACTCTCTATGTAACCTCAAATTTAGAGAATATCATTGCAGTAGCAGATGCTGATGGAAAATCAAACCTATGGCACCAAAGGCTTGACCATATGAGCGAGAAAGGAATGAAGATACTTCTGTCAAAAGGGAAGCTGCCGGATCTAAAGAATGTGGATGTCGGACTATGCGAGGATTGCATCTTTGGCAAACAAAAGAAAGTCAGTTTTGCAAAGATTGACAAGGCACCCAAGGCAGAAAGGTTAGAATTGATTCATACTGATGTATGGGGACCATCCCCAGTTCCATCTCTTGCAGGCTCACTATATTATGTCACCTTCATCGATGATTCAACAAGGAAGGTGTGGGTTTATTTTCTGAAGAAGAAATCAGAAGTCTTTGATACCTTCAGAAAATGGAAGGCCATGGTGGAAAATGAGACTGAGTTGAAAGTCAAGAGGTTGAGGTCTGACAATGGAGGAGAGTACAGAGACAGTAGATTCAGAGATTTCTGCGCAAACAATGGGATTAAGATGGAGAAAACAGTTCCCATAACACCGCAGCAGAATGGCGTAGCAGAGCGCATGAACAGAACTCTGAATGAACGTGCTAGAAGCATGAGGATACATGCCGGATTGCCCAAATTTCTATGGGCTGAAGCTATCAACACTGCAGCTTACCTGATCAACCGTGGGCCCTCTGTTCCTTTGGATGGCGGAATACCAGAGGAAGCTTGGAGCAAGAAAGAAATAAACCTTTCATACTTAAGAGTGTTTGGTTGTATTTCTTATGTACACATAGACTCTGCTGAAAGAAGTAAACTTGATGCTAAGTCCAACAAATGTGCCTTTGTTGGTTATGGCGGTGATGAGTTCGGTTACCGGTTTTGGGACTACGAAAATCGAAAGATCATCAGAAGCAGAGACGTCATTTTCAATGAAAATGTGATGTACAAAGACAGGTTAACCGCAGAATCAAGTAATACCGAGGCTGAAACAAAGGAATTTGCTGAGTTCGAGGAGATTTCTGAAAATGATGTTCAGATCAATCCTGAAGCAGTTCAAGAGGAAGAACCAGGCACACCAGAACTGAGACGCTCCTCCAGAATTCCTAAACCAACCCAACGGTATTCACCTTCTTTACACTACTTGTTGTTGACTGACAATGGTGAACCAGAGTGTTATGATGAAGCAATGCAAGTGGAGGATTCAGTCAAGTGGGAGTCTTCCATGAAAGATGAGATGGACTCGCTTATGTCAAATCAGACGTGGGAATTAGCTGAATTACCACCAGGCAAGAGAGCGCTCCATAACAAGTGGATTTACAGGATCAAAGAAGAGCACGATGGGAGCAAACGTTACAAAGCAAGATTGGTTGTCAAAGGCTTTCAGCAAAAAGAAGGTATTGATTACAATGAAATTTTCTCTCCAGTCGTGAAACTGTCTACAATCAGACTGGTGTTGAAAATTGTAGCTGCAGAAAATTTACATCTTGAGCAGTTAGATGTAAAGACATCTTTCCTTCATGGTGATTTGGAGGAAGAAATCTATATGAGGCAGCCAGAAGGCTTCATAGAGGCAGGCAAGAAAAACCTGGTATGCAGGTTGAAGAAGAGCTTGTATGGTTTAAAACAAGCTCCTAGACAGTGGTACAAGAAGTTCGATAGTTTCATGGGTAGCAGTGGTTTTACCAGATGCCAAGCAGATCATTGTTGCTACATCAAGAGGTTCGACAACAGCTTCATTATTTTATTATTGTACGTTGATGACATGCTCGTTGCAGGCTCAGACATGCAAGAGATTATACACTTGAAGCAAAAATTGTCGAAGCAGTTTGCTATGAAGGATCTGGGCGCTGCAAAGCAGATTCTTGGGATGAGGATCAAGAGAGACACAAAGTCGGAGACTTTGATGTTATCACAGGCTGAGTACATCAACAAAGTACTCTCCAGGTTCAACATGCAAGATGCTAAACCAGTAAGTACACCTTTAGGTGTTCATTTCAGACTCTCCAAAGAACAGTCACCAAAGACGGAGGAAGAACGTGCACACATGGTGAAGGTGCCGTATGCCTCAGCAATTGGAAGTCTGATGTATGCCATGGTTTGTACCAGACCAGATATTGCTCAAGCAGTGGGAGTTGTTAGCAGGTA